CTTTACACAGCATTAGTTATTGACTGTAAAGTAAATGTGCTTTTTTTTGTTAGTGCATATTTTGACTGCTTACTTATAATGTTGCATACAATTTTTATGGCAAAACTTACACACTATAAGACTATGGTTGTGAAACTTTATATAATGCCAAATTTAATTGTATGTGCAGTTTAGGGTCATAAATTTGTGTTTTAGGAGGCTTATCAAGGAAAATTACACTGTTTTTTAATATATATTCAAGAGTTCAAGCCTATGACATAACACTATAAATAGTTCATTTGTAAAGCAAAATACAAATCGAGTTTTATTAAAAGTTACGCATCACCAGTCCAGCCATATTGGATTTTTAACTTATTTGCAATTAGATGGTAGTGAACAGCTTCAAGCTTCATATTATTTTGGTACAATTGTACACTAACACCAAACTTACTCCCCCTACTTAAGCCCTCCTCTGCCCAATATATAAGAGTACTGCAAAATTGTCCAAATACACAGTTTTTACTCCAAACTTAAATTATTACACAACAAAACGATTGTTTGCAATGAAACCTCCATAAAAAAGTGAGCAAAGTCAATATGAAATTTCAATTGCAGCGGAACGATGTTTTCCGCTGCCCGTGCAAAACTAATCATATCGTTGGTCCCTTTGTTTTCTTTGCGCGAGTGAAAAATGGAAAAATGAAAAAATACCAAACAAGAGAATGCGTTCGTCACGTCATTGAAGTGCAGGGAGGAATGAAAAATAATTGGTTTACATAAAGCCCGCCAAAAACGCAACAAAGTTAATCTACGCTTCAATTACACCGGAAAGCTCTCCGCCTATGATTAATTATGGCGCGATTTATTTTGCGAATGCGATTAATTTTCGCAGAATTTGCATTCCACGGTTGTTCGGCTGTAATAACAAAACTCGGTAAATACTGATTTGATTTGATCAGCTCAACTCGCATTGTGCTGCTTCATTGTGTGATGTCCCGTAATCATATTACAGCATGTAAAACTCACAATGTGTCTTTATTACAATGGTTTCCAGATGAATCAATTATCTATGATTATCGATATTTGGTAATAATTGCATCGTTAGTTTATATAGATCGATAGTCTACAGAGTCGAATGAAAGCCAAAAATTAAGAGAATAAAAGTAGATTGAATTGTTTAGGAGACCAAAAATCATAATACCCCCGCCGCAGCAAACCTGCCGTCTAAGCGAATTTCCATTTGGCTGAATTGATTTTCAATTGGTCTATTTAAATAACATTAGGTTTAACTAGTACCTAGGTTTGCTGCTACAAGGAAACTAATAAATAGTGTGTTTTAAGTAAAATAACTAGTGTACATGCTCTTTAAGAAGGTTTAGAGAAAAATTGGAAAATTTTGTGTTTTGAGGGTCAAAAGTGAGAAAAACCAATTTTTACCCCATAAAACCCCCCATAAAATCCTGTTCCCATGGTCCGATCATGCTGGATCGCGAACTCATTCAAGTTTATCCCGCCTTACACCTTCAAACCAAATTTCATCAAAATCGGAAAAAATTACTCAAGTTATCGTGTTCACGGACACATATATATATAAATCTATATATATATATATATACATATATAAAAATTTGAACGAATGGTGTTTTTGGCCTCTGGGGACATTAAAATGAAAAAGTAAATCGGTCCCGGGCCTAAGTCTTACCATGAGACCTACGGTAATAGCTACTTCCCTATAGGGAAGTTCGCTAAAAGGAGCTTTTAGTATTTATGAACAAATGACAGACATTTTCGTTTGTGTGATGATTTAAAACAGTGACTACAGTAATATGATTCAAATGCTGCTCCGAGACCAGCGATGTATGTATCATATTTATCACGTAATAAACGTATGCGTTTTGTGCTTAAATCTTGAAGAAGCTACTCAATATTTTTAATATAGTATTTTAAAATTCAAATTCCACTTTTTCTGGACTTTGGACTTGTTAAAAGTATAGTATTTGACGTATAAAACTTCAGTGCGAGAGGGGGCTGGGGGTCTTGGCTTCGATTCCCGGAGAATATTGTATCGCTTTTCCTTAAAATGGTTTGTGTTTGCATTCTAAAGAAACAAGTCACATGTTGCTTGTAACTTTTGAAACAACTGTAATAAATCCATAATCGTCAAAATCGCATCTCGAGAATAGTAAAATCAATTCCAATCAAACATCAGGATCTGGATGTATATCCTGCTCCTGTTTAAACTACATTTCTCGTTCCAACCACCACATCCAAGCCACCTCGGATGGGAGACGCTACCGGAAGACAGCTCCTCAATTTGTCGTCAGTCAACAACACAGAGTCAATAATACGTTTTTCTAGTGGCAGCTGCCAGGGCTTGTTACCTGAAAGATAATACCTCGACTAAAGTGGCCACTGTTTGAAGTGTGTTCTTTGTGTTTGGTCAGTTGGTCAGTTTTATTTGCTAGTCTAAAACACAACTGACCAGTAGGGTGAAAACTAATTGGTAGAAACCGGTATTGTACATATTTATCTAAATCCCATTAGGTTTTGTCTACTGATGATTGTGGGGGTTTCTTTTTCAATAGGTGACAAAACTATCATTGTGGTATTGCATGTTTAAAATTAGGTGAATACCTGCTGCTCGTAATGCTGCGCAGATTGTACTCAACAACTAGTTTTGGCTAAAAGATTGTGCCATCTTCTAACTGTAGGCCTCTATCTGGACTATAATAACCATTCGCTACTGAACTCATCTTCTGCGATGTTGTTAAAAAAAACTAAAATAAAGTTCCTGTAGTTTTTCTAGTTCAAGAACGATGTATTCATTAAACCAGTAGGCTTACCTTAAGGTTGCCAGGTTTTTAAGTGAACATACTAAACATAGTAAACAATAAAAAAAACGAGGAAAGTAGTTTCTGGATCCATCCGTGGACACGTTTATCAGATTTATAATTATAATGAAAAAACTCTCCTGAGTTGATATTATTTCGATGCTCGTTTCTAAAGGTCTTTAAGTAATGTCAATGGTTATACAGTTTGCCAATTCTTAATTTTCCTTTACGATTGGATCTTACAATCTATGCCAGAAACTAGTTATTCTTTAACACAAGTTTGATTTAATTTTGTACTACTTTAGATAGTGCAATAGACTTCATCTGATCAAATGCTACATACAACAACAGTACAATAGTATGTTTTGCTTGTTTTGATGTATACTTTGCATCTCATTGCATTTAAGTGAGATGAGGTGAGTTAAATATTAATATCTTGTTTTAGGATAAGATTTCAATGATGCATTTTGATAAAACGTCAAATAAAATGTACATGTATGCAACAATTGTGACCCTTAATACAAGAGCTCGTTTAACCAATACAATATGATTACGATGGTGAAGAAACCATGCAAAAATCAGCTTGTTTGGAATTTGTATGTTACTAAAACACGTGTTTGGTAATAACAGCGGTGCCAAACATCTGTTTATCACTCTGCCAGCCGAGGCACTTCGGACCGTATTCACTCTATATTCCAATGAGCCGTGTCCCTCAATAATCCTCTAACTCCAGCTCATGCATGACCTCTCAGGACAAAGGTCTAAGCTGACCCTAGGGATCCGCAGGAGCGCATATCTGGTAAGTAGTGGGTCCATATGGAGAAAATCTCGGTAAATTTCACATGAAAGCGGGCGAGACGGGAACCGCATGTTATTTGATTTGCTGGACAAAAGAGCGGGTGCAAAACAAGATAAGCCGGACCACCTGAGGAGAGAGGAGGGGGTAAGCGATAGCCATTGTGGCGGGGCAGTCGACTAGATAAGTCGGGGTGGCAAACACTTGGGGAGGTGTGAGCGAAACCGACACCGACCTACCACACTGCGATTTGGAGAAGTAGAATGTGAACTGGAGAATTTAGTACCATGTGAGCTCGGGGAGCTACTAACACAGTGCGAATTGGAGTTGAAACTAAGTTAGGCCAGCAAATTTCAATCGGAAGAAGAAACTACGTTTATGAACCACACGGCAGACTAGAAAAATATTATTTCGGTGAACCACACTGTAAACTGGTGAAAATACGAGTATTAAGAGTTTTATTGTATTACACACTCAAACTCGAGATAATACTACGTCAGTTCCCTATTTTGCAGGTTAAATTAAGTCAGCGATTGATACTGCAGACTACAAACTACTGATGATGCCATGCCAAACCTGATTCATAATGCAGGCTGCAAAAACCTTGATTTGATATCTCAGTTGTAGGATATACAAAATTTAGTATTCATAAAAAAATACATATTCATTCAGTATTGAAAAACCATAAACATATTCCGGATTTAACATTAATGGCTTTAGAATATTCGAAATAGGTATCCAACACTGCTGGCTACATTTTACATGGTTCTAGAATTTCACGCAACAATTTTAGCATTCAAAACTATTTTACATTCGACTACCTTAATCAGTAGACTTAAGTAATTAAATTTCAATGACTTAAGTACCATTTCTATCTTCAAATAGGATATTTGATATGCCTATGCTTGTCGTTATTTGTATAATCAACGATATTTTTTGGGGTTTGCAATATAGTGACCAGAGGATAAATAAGTGATAGATATTTTATATGCCTATACTTGTCGTTATTTGTATAATCACAGATATTTTTTGTTTTGCAATATTTTAAGAACAGTGATCAGAGGATAAATAAAGTAATATATATTCTATAGGCCTATGCTTTTCGTTATTTGTATAATCAACTATATGTTTTGTTTTGCAATATTTTAAGCCACCAGAGGATAAATAAGTAATAGATATTTGATAGGTATGTGCTTGTCGTTATTTGTATAATCAACGATATTTTTGTGTTGCAATATTTTAAGAATGGTGACCAGAGGATAAATAAGTAATAGATATTTTATAGGCATGTGTTTGTCGTTATTTGTATAATCAACGATATTTTTGTTTTGCTATAATTCTAAGAACAGTGACCACAGGATAAATAAGTAATAATAACATTATAAAAATATTTAGTTATTGTTAACAATGTATAACATTTTTATTCACACAACACTGGATTAAAAACAACAATTATTATTATTAGGTAACAGTTTTTACTTATCACATTTATACAAACTATTCTACAAATATTTACATATAGAGGATTATATTTCCTCTGTTATTTCTATACCTTACTGTACACAATTTTATAAAACGTTGTAAAAGTGTACTTTGACAGTTTTGTTGTCAATTAAATGTCTTTTAAATTGGAATAATATCCATAACCGTATGTCAGAAAATCCTACATACTCCTAGTTTTTTACCGTGTATGAGTACAAGACTTGTGCAGGTTTTTTCAAATGATATAAAATTTTTAATGTACAATTTTTTCACCGGACATTCCGTCACTTGTTTTTTTCACAATTGCACGTTTATTGTTTATATAGGCTTGGTGTTTGATAAAAAGTTACGTTATTGTCCTTATTCAACTCTATTATCACATGAAAATTGTGATAGTTATGAGATAAAACATAAAAGATTAATGATGCAAATTAATAAATTCCCAATACAGAGGAATTAGAGAGGGTGAAAAAATTGATCATCTACAAATATGCAAACTATATGAATTAATCATTGCCCACAGAGTGTTTGGAGATAGTAAAACATCTCTTAAATCTTTATACTACTTTACAATTATAAATGCTTATCAATAAAATGTAACTAGTGTAATTTCAGTCGATTGTTGTATGATACATTTTATTGCTATTACATTTTAACCACTTATCTATTTTACATGCAAATTATTCATTCGCCATTCCACAACATAGCAATGTTTAACTTTTGCGTCTTGCTATCAAAGTTTACACACACTTAAACCTGTGTTAAAATCTGATTGATTAAATTTATGATTTCAGATTGGACAACTTAAGTTAGGGTTTGAAAGACCACTTAACGGTTCCGTACATATATTTTAAAATACAACTCGTAAAATAAAATATTATTCAATAGTAGTACAAAGGTTTTTTTTCACAAAAGTAACCATTAATCTGCAAATTCTTGTGCAAATATTTTAGAGAACCAGGCATAAAACTAATTAAGCATTGGCAGAAAGTAAACAGCACCCATTCTAAAATATTTAGATAAAAATAATGGTTTAACCGTTATAATTCTGAAGGACAGTAATTTAAATACAAAGATTTAGTTTAACTAGAGGGGGAATTCAGTAAATTTGGAGTTTAAACCTTTACCTCGCCCACAACAAACTACAGTACGGTCCACGAGAGTCTGCAGTTGAGAGATGAGCCTATTTACCACGTGACTTCGAAGGAGCCAATGAGGACAGTGCGGTGTTGCCAAATCTACGAGTAATAATATTAGCTGAGTTGAAAATATGTTTCGTATATTTTAATTAGTGACGAAAAATAGAAAACGGGTGATGTTTCAAAGTAGCACTAGTCCAGTCTTGATTGGCTGCCACCAACTTCAGACTCTCGCGGCCCCTAGTGTAGTTTAAAATTTAACATTTTCTGACAGTAGGTTAAATTTGTCATTGGTAAGCCGTAAAACTAAATCAACTAATACTTTGAGCTCAAACTTCCTATTGCGACTCCATATCGAAAACGAAACTTTCGATTACTGACCGCACACTCTTGATTTCTTCCAGGTCCTTCGACTGCCACTTCTGATCCTAGCAGGGTTTGTTTCCTTCCTTCTCGGCGTTTTTCCTCCTGGATCGGAGGGCTAGGAGGATGACGAAGAGGATGGTCCCCGAGGAGAGGGCGAAGACCCCGGCGATCGTTGCGAGGGTGGGCAGTAGGAGTACCAACCTTAACTCCCAGGCCAGTGCTTCACTGATGGTCACCCGCTGGTCGACCCAGAGAACAGGGAACATAACCCGGGGTACGTTCTTGTACATCCTGCGAAAATTGATTGAATAGTTGAATAAGTATGAATAACTGGTTGATTATATGAATACTGTGGTACTGTTGACTTGGAGACTCTCCAATGGATCACATTCAGTCAATTTTTGTATTCCTGTAAAACATAGTTGAAACTCAATGATGGGCTACTTACAAATCTTCATTTTAACCTTGAGTATTTGAAATTTAGATGTGTCATTAAGTATGTCCTAGTATATGTTACACTTTTTAATTGGTTAAACAGTTTGAGTTTTTTACAGAAACATTGATTCACTTCAGTGGACTATCGGTGGATTAATATAACCAAGTCGGTTTTCATTTAAAAAATTGGAAAAGACATACCCAAACACAGGAAATCTTTTATTAATATTCATAAGTCCTATAACATAATTGTGATTGACTTATATTACTATATGAAATTATCAAAAGAAAGAAAATTCATTTAGATCGAAATAGTGGCGTATTAACTTTATATGTTTAATTGTAACTTGGTGGTTCTAATAGCACATTAAAAACGCCTGCCTATTTGTGCAACAACAATTTTTTTATATCTTCTGTTTGAAATATGCATTTCAATGATTTTAACTTTTTAAATAGCTATTGTAAAAAGTGTAATGACTAATTTATTAGTGACACCCAGTTAAAACAATGCATGATTACTCAGAGGTAGCTACATAAATAAATGAAGATCTACCAAAACGAACAAATATATTAAACATCATCACATTGTATTTTCAGGCTACACGAATACCCAAAGATAGAAAACTTGATCCGTTTTCCAATAAACACAAAAGCCTCGAAGAGTAGAGAAAATAGAAGTAGCTATTAAGAAGAGAAGATGATTGTATCATGTTCCAGGGCAAGAGGAGATTGGAAGGAAAACCACTTAACCCTTGAAAGCTCTAACCTTTCCCCTGGGTGAGTGTAACCTCTCAGGAAATGTAAGGCTTAACAGCTGGTTCTCTAGTATTATAATACTTTTCGTGAAAGTAGGCTAAATCATTGACTTGGCTGAGGGTGACGTAAGATTTTCATCCGTAAAAATATAATTTTTTAAATTAGATTTTCATGCGTTTTGAGGAATTAACATCAAAACGTTATGCCTAACGTATGGTAAACTATAGCCTACTGGAAGATAAAAAAATCTTTACAGTTCGTCTCAAAAATATAATTTATGGAGTTACAAGTTAATAATTAAGTGTAAAGGGCAAGTTTTGAATGAATTTATAATTAGAAGATACGTTTCCAGTCTCCTAATAGGAAAAATAGCGAAACAAGCAAAACCGTAATGCACAAGCTAAAAGATTATACATTTATATCTTAACTACAGTACTTTGCCTTCTGGACTGGATATCCAATGCAAAATGTTCTGTGCAACCTGAGCCCCACGACTTTTAAAAGGTGCAGCAAACGCCATGCGCCATTATACTTATTGGGAAAAACATAATTTTACATAAAATTAAATTTATTTTTGTTTACTCAACTACAGTATTTGAAAGATACTGCTAATTGAAGTTATTGTATTCATTTTACTTACACGTATAAACAATATGGTAGTCAAAAGACTTGAGATCAGTATACTGTAGTAAGCAAACTTACGATATGTGCGGGATTGGCTGCATCAACATATTAAGCTGAACGCGAGCTCCGATATCAATTGGAACTCCATACGTCTGAAAAACAAAATCAAAAAAACCATATAATAAATGTTATCGGTAAAACCAAAACTATATTCAATACTCTTTTAACATATTTTTATACCTGTCCGTTCTAAGCAACGTAATAAAAATATTCATACGATAACCGTGAAATCTTTCTACATGCTTGTCTAAATTTTGGGAAATCTCTGTCGTATCCCAGATCTTAAAGTCACTTAGGACCATTTCTCTTGGACATTGAGTGTTGGTTTGTGCTATAAAGCTTATAAAGAATGATTATTGTATTTGAATTCTTACAAAAACTGTCGTTGATTTAATTAGAATGCTTACATTTCCACTTATACTTTTATTTACACTGAATTTTTTATACAGCATAGTTAGAGCATATTTAAAATACGAAGTGGAAATACGGTATAGTAAAACTTACGCAAATGACTTGTGTGATTTCTGATGGGTTTAAAAGAGTGTTATAAGCTATTCAAAAAAATCACCTAAACATTAGTTAAATCTATTGACTTATTACGTTTATTTTTCATGCAATTAAATGTAGATTCAATGGTTTGTGACAGTCGCTTTAGTGATCACTCAATTTTATATTTAAACTTTTAAACGGAATGAGGTAATTATTTTTATATGAATTTATAATCAATAACTTATACAAACAATAAGTTATTGATTGCTGTATTTATTTTATTGCTCATATGAAGGACGTGTACATAGCCCTGAAATACGTGTACATAGGAAAAGTTTTCCAACGTTACAAGTGTTTCTAAATGTCAATAAGCAAGCACTATAACCAATAGACTCATACACGTTTGGTTTGATTCTTTTGTAACCATATCCTGACTAAAAAAGTATAAACAAAACACACGACGTGGTAAAAACACTTGGACTAGAGATAGTCTTATAACCTTATTGACTTCCGATAGATAACATTCTCAATCATAGAAAGTAAATATTTATGTAAAGGCTTATGTTTGAAGTGTGATAGTAGTTCTTAACGGGTCTAAACTCCTAATTTTCAATCAAAGTAATTGTGTAAAGAAGTTAAAACAAATTGAACCACCCTAATCAACGTAAGGCTAAAACTAATAGTACAACTCAATGTCTTGAATATGGTTAATAACGTAATAAATAAAATTAGATAATTCATACAACTCTAGTTTGCCTCCCATGGCATTATTCTAGAGAAGTTAAGAGACTGCAAAACAGGCCAATATCTTAAATATCCAACCAATATCAAATATCCAATATCCAGCAAAGTGTGTTTCCATTACCACCATGTGCTTAACCACCGGCATTCGTTTCTTAATTCTGTCCCATGTTTAAATGGCCAACCTTAACTTTGAGTACGAGTAAGACACTAAGCTAGCCGTAGCATATATCTGTTAGGTTTTCAACATTATTTAAAGAGGTTGAGGTGAATCGTCTAAAACAGTTTGAATCTTCATGTGTATGTAGATAACACAAAAATGTACATCATCAAGTCAAACTGTGGATTGATCCAGCAACAATAGTTTAATACCTTTGGAGCCTTTTGAGATTACAGACGATGTCTGCATTATTCATTTTTGAATAATGTCAACATTTCAACCTCACGTTATTAAAATACCAAAATGGAATGCACTAGCATAAGCTTGACTAGTTTGTTATCTTGCTTGTTATCAAGCTTTTACCAAATTAAACAGGGATAAGAGATATGCGTGTGTTTTTATAGTTTCTAATCTAACAGATTGATCGTGCTGTGAATTGCCTGCTCATACAATCATTTACCCCCTATCAAATAATACTAGTGATTCTTCCAACCCACAATAAAGAAAACACATAATGCAAACGTTACGAGAATTCTACGGAGAATAATGTTTAAATTCAACTCACAGGTTCAATACTGAAGTAAAACTCGTGCCGCTCAGGGTCCGGCTCTAGACCTTCCACCCTCTTGAGGAACACAGGGTGTGCTTGGTGGAAGTGAGGGTAGGAGACGAACACCGGAGCACCGAAGCGACATGATGTGAGGTTGAGGAACCCTGGAGGAACACACTCGCCGTTACAGTAGCAGGAGTTGTCAGGATCTAGGGAGCCGTTGTCTATGAGGTGGAGACCAGCGGTGTAGCGAAGCCCCTGGATACCCTCCACTTCGGCGTTGCCCGTGTAGTCGAACGGGAGAGTCCTGGAAGTAGAGGCTGATAAGTGAGACTGGATGAAGAGGATGAAGTCCTAAAACAGACTCAGTCCAGTAGGGGTTTAGCTCACTGGATTGGAACGTCACCAGATCAGTGAGACTTCAACATGAAATTCTCGTTTTGGTACAGTATTTGAGAAATACTTTCGTAAAATTATCAAAAATCACATCTCATTCTGCAATATTGGTAAAAGTTATGACTGTTTTCGAATAAGGATTTTAGATTTTCGGTGTTTTGGAATGCCAGATTTTTTGTGAAATTTGAGCTCTTGTAAGTATACTTTTTCAAGAAGCCATTTTCCTCCACACAGTGAAGAGTATCTAGAACCAATTATTTTTTTCGTGCTGGTTCTCCTCTAAAGCTTTTCATAAAACAATATTCATGGTGATATTCTGGAGCCCTTGCAACTAGTTGAAAACCAGGTGTTAGTAAACAAATTAATATTTGACCTTAAATCATCCTAAAATCATGTTCGTGATTTACTCCATTCATATTTCGAATTATGTTTTGATAATAATGTTTATCCAAAACGTTTAGATTTGGCACAGTACGAGAAGTTACAACACGTTCCACTTGCTTTGTTAAATGAGGAGCTTTTAAGAAGTACACTTTGGATTAGTTCGTAACCAAGAACGATCGAATTCGTTCATGTTTAAGCAAATATAGGAGTTTTGTGACTTAGAGAAAGTACACTAATCGACCAGTAATTGAGAATTTTGACGGTTGAACAGAAGGTAGGTTCAATTAGATCTGTATTTGTATTGAAGCTGAGTGTGATGTATTAAACCCTGTTATCTTCCGAAAACCAACATTTGACAGCCCGTGAAAGCACGCCTAGAAGTTCAAGTTATCCTAACCATATTCATACCTGCAGAGATCTTGACTGAAGAGATTGAGACGGGTATCCCTGCCCACATATCCGGGAGGGAATAAATCCCCGGTAAATCCCTTGATTTCCCCACATTTCCCACTGTAAAACCCACTGTTGATCTTGCCATTCCAAGATTTGATGACTCCGAGTTGAGAAATGTCTTTTTCTCCGGTGTCGAGGTTGAACCATCCATCATACGCGTAGGAGTCGTTCCTCTGAAAATACAATATGAGGGTAAATAATGGTAATTATGTAGATTAAATACCCAGGCTCTCATACTAAACTTTTTGCTATCTTTCTTCCTTGAGACTTTAAGCCTGCATTTGCCCATCCTCACTTCTAGGGCTTTGGGATTGTGGGTAGAATAGAACGTATCAAGCTAAGAAGAGGGTGAGCTGATACAGTATAAGAAGAATAGTCATTCGTAAAAGTAACATCCAAGACACAATAAGTTGGCCTTTTAGTTTTACGTCACTTCAAGTTAATGACAGCAGCACACTCCATCGGCGAGTCAATTCAAGTCTGTAAGCTTATTTAATGAAACTGCCTAATGACTTAAGATGGCGTGTTTATAGTTCAATGCATAATTAACAGTTTTAATGACTCGTTCTCCACATACAGGCATATACTGGTTGGATAACTGTTAACTGTGCTCGCCTACAATGCAGAGGTTGCCGAATCGATCCTGAGAAAAGTCAATAGTTCTTTGACTGTTTAAACTAGAATCAGCTGTTTCTGATCATTCGGCTTTAAAATGACCCTGGCTAATGAAACAGCTGATCCTAGTGAATAACATAGGTACAAAGATCATCTCACTCAGTAAGTTCTCCACTCATCCATGTGATTTGAGTCAACATTTGTAAACAGTACCTGGTAGAACCAAGCGAACTTGTCGAAGGGGCTTGACATTGGTGTGAGGGAAGGTGAGAGTTTGTTGGCCAGAGACATGAGATTGTTCTCGTATCCGTCAAACAGCAACTCTCTGACAGTGTGAGAGACTGAGATCTTCTGTTTGGTGAAGGTGAAGGCCATGTTGAGTGACTGCTGCGGCAGATAGCCTGAGTGACGCACCATGTACGCTGCTGTCTGGAAAAGTAAATGGTTATTTAGTAAGTATGTCCTTAAGTTAAAGGAGGTCCTCCGATACATAGTAGGTTCTCCTCTAAAACTCATCCATTTGTACTCCGTAGGTTTATTTATAACATGTTGCATACAAACCTCCAGATGAAGATGAAGGCATTATCTCGCGGATCAAAGATATTGTTGATTTGACGACATCTGAACTCGTCAAATTAGTGGAAGCCTTTTCCTCCCCCTTACATATTTCTTCTTATATAATTCCCCAAGAAAAGTCTAGTGACGTTAATAACTTGCAAGAAAAATTGGAAGAAGATGAACGTTTCTGGACTGAACAGGCTATATGTTCACACCAGTTATTTGATTTATCTCCATTAAGACTAGTCAAATACCATTCTACATGAGGAGGAATATGTTGGACTGTTGTGCTTGGATCTTATTAATGCTCCTAAGTTTACTGAATCCAAATTTGAGTTTTCACAATTTCTGGCTACAATATTCCGAAAATCATAATGCCCAAAAGGTGTTACTTGTATCTTAGAAAGTATAAATTAGATGTTGATAGAGAGTTCCCTAGTTATTATCTTAAATAAATTTAAATGCAGTATATTTTTTGTATATGTTTTTCAAAGAAGAAAGCAAAATATGACTATTTTAAAATAGTAACAAGTCGTATTCAGTTTTTATACACACCTGAGGATTTGAATTTAAAGGTGAAAATGTGTAACCCTTTTTGCTGTAGGGTTCTCCCTTGCTGTAGGGGCCTCTTCACACTGGGCCACCATGGTGGCGACACCGGTGGTGACACTGGTGGCCGGTCAAAATGCGCATGGACCACAAGCTCAGCCACCAGTGCAGCTACAGCCACAAAGCTCACAGTTGGACGTCAAAGAGGCAGGTGCTTTGCGTATTTTTTTTTTTTTTTATTGTGAAAACATAAGAAAAAAACGTATTTTTTTGTTCATCCGTTTTTATTAGATATAAGTACCAGAGAGACTTTTTTCATTCACTACCAAGACCTTAGAAATAACCCTGACACGTTTCACAATTACTACTTACTCAAGAATGAGTGTTTTAAGTTTTGATGAGCTTCTGGGACGTCTGAAAGATAAAATATCTCCAGAAGAGAAACTGCTACTATTGTTGTGGAAAATTAAATAAAAACATAGTTAATATACCATTTATTAATAACACTGTAATACCTTGACTCAATGTATACATTGCAATGACGAAAAGATGTAAATGAAATAGATTACCTATACATTTTGTTATATCAATAAAATCGTTTCCCCATATTTATTACCTTCAAAAGATTAGTAAACTAGTATACTGATTAATGCCCGCTGGTAGTGACTGGTGGCGCTGCCAGTCGCTCCAATGTGAACAGTCCGATAAGAAACCATGGTACGACGTGGTGGCGCCACCAGACTGGTGTCTCTAAAAAATCGCAACCCCGAGCCACCGCATTTCTGGTCGCGCGGCCAGACGCGCCACCAAAGCTCAGTGTGAAGATGTCCCATTTAAATCAATGCTAATGTAACGTCGCCACCGGTGTCACCACCATGGTGGCCCAGTGTGAAGGGGGCCTTACATCTACTTTAATTTGACTGTAAGTTTTGGTCAAGAAGTTTATAATTTCTGTATAAAAATATTAAACGTTGATGGTTTTTTTTTTCAAACTAATTGCACCCAATTTGATTCAATTACTATGAATGTCTGTATAAATACTTTGCCATTTAATGTAATAGGTAATGCGTTTAAGCATAACACTAACCAAAGTGACACCATTGATGGTAGAAATGACATCGTCCTGTGTACCATTGGATGAGCTCTCGTCGAAGAACCAGGTTCTCCTTTGGCGATAACTGACTGTACCATTTTTGTTCCACGAGATGTTACTTTTTTCTCTTGTCTCACTGAAAAAGTAGAGTAAGAATATATTTCTAACTTAAAGAAAACTTTACTCAACACTAGAATGTTTCAATGCAGATTTGCTTTAAAAAATTAAATACACATTGTCTTTAAAATCTGAGTGGCATTGTCATTATCTGAGTGGCCATAGCCAAAGGTCACTGGTTCAAACAAAAGTGGTCTCTACTCTACAGTTATATTCTACCTCTCTTTTGTCTCATGGTGATGATTCACCTAATATTAATTTAAGGAAATACAATTAGCATAATCCAAAACTCATGTTTACACTAAAAGGCCTATTTATCACTGTCATGTGCCTTTGTATTGTTCAAACGTAAATTAATACTTACTAAAACCTGTAGGGTCCAAGTTCCGTAAATTTCGGCTTCTCTTTGTCTATCAAGTGTGGGTTTGTCCAGTTGAAAAGGTAAAAATCCAACGATATCGGCAGAGGAGTTTTCTTCCAGTGTTTAAAGCTCTGGGAGTTTGGTGATAGTAGGAATTCCTGTAATGATATAATGTAATTTTCAAGATGATCATAAAATAAAGCAATCCTTAACTTGAAGAAAGCATCCAACAAATTAGGTAATCTTAGATAATTACCAACTAAAAACAACCCAAATTTATCCAAAAAGTGTGTTTTTTCGTTACAAGTAAATCTTTTTTACGTTGAATCGAATATTTAGTCCACAATGCACAATACTGAATTTAGGGTAGACCCTTTTGTATTTCCAAACGGTTAACTTTTGTTTAGCTACAAAGTAAATGGAAGTAATGCAAAGTAACGTAATTTAAAAGTAATGAAAAAATAAAATGTTTTATGTATGTTTTAGCAAATTTTCCAGTAGAGAAGTAGCCATCACTTTCTCATGGGACCACTCTACCTATTTTTATTATTAGTTCTTAAATTAAAAAGACAAAACAAACCCCAAAAGGTAAATGGATCAAATTTTAACAAAAAAAAACCCAATCCAAAAAGAAACAGAAACAATAAGCTGACTTGCGCAAATACACGCAGCCCCCTGAACCGATAGACTACACGATTAGAATAGACAGTCAATAGAATCGCCTGTTCGCACCATTCAAAACAAATTGTTTCTAAATTGTTGACATAATTACAGAAAAATCAATCAATGGCTTCTTCAGTGACGCACTAGATAAACAAATAAATCCAAGAAATGTTGTATAACTAATTTTTAGCGCAATGTGGTCTTGGCCCGGATCGTTTGCAAAGGCATTGACCTTCTACAAACTGTTATCAGGGAAGATTCAAGGTCCTTTGCAGCGATCCGTCCTCTCACACCATTGATAAGGACTTACCATTCATACAACAAGGGGGAAACCAAGTGGTGTTTTAATGGGAAACACTAGAAAGAACTTGTTTCTTTTAATTTTTTCTGGAAATGTACTTTGACTTTGCATTTGGTTTAGTTTCGGTAATATCTTTGACTATTGATAGTCTACAATTAGACAAACATGTTAAGGATTTCTCCAGTTTTTAAATCACAAAGTTCGTAGTTTATGCGTGCCACCAACAAAAAATGCTTATGTAAATACTGATATCTCTCGAATACACGAATTTTTTTACAAAACATCGGTTTGACCGACTTATTATGAAATGAAGCAACTGGTATGACCCATCAATTATGTGAGCAACAAAAAATAGGAAGAATATAGAATTTTAGACACTAGCGCATTCTGTAAATGGTTCTTATAACCAATAGTCATTTGAAAAAGACTAGAAAACCTAGGAAATGTTTGATGAATTAGTTAACAACTAAAGTTAATGATAAAATATTGTTAAGTAAACAGATTAAGTAAAAACGCACAAAACTACAGCAAAGACAGCCAAGAAGGTATATTTCATATATGTTCTCTTAAATCCGATTGGAATAAGGTTTAGTGATCAAATAAATAATATATATGAAGAAATGTTATCGTTGTATTGGGCGAGAACTAGTTTTTTCCAACTTATTTCCAAAGTCCTTCAGGTTCACCAACCGGATATGAGAGGCTACAAAGATGATAACCCTAGCACGCCCCCGCTATCATGTAAGGGATTACCACTGTCTGTACTATTGTTAGAACTCTTTACTTGTAAACAAACAAATCTGATGTCAAAAAAGTATCAAACAAACAATCCAAATGACTTAGCAAAAAACAATTAAAATCTCTGTCGTTGCACCCAAGGATTTTTAACTAAAACCATCTCCAAGAATAGAGCTGTAAATATTTATATTATAAAACTATTATTTGTAGTTATTATATACGACTTTTCAATGGACAAATAATTCTTGATTCTCATCTAAGCCATATTTGATTTTAATCCTAACCTATACATACAACTTGTATTGTAAATTCTAGCCAAATAAACGAACAAAATTTCAAGCGTCCTGTTAATTAGTGGTTCTTTTTGGTCGTCGTGAAATAAGTCATTGAATTTTGCACTTACATAATAATACTTAACTTAAATCAATTTAATTTCAGAAGGATTTTTCTACATGCACAATATTTGTGTGACATTTTATGACTTTCATAGTCGATCACCTCAATGAATAGTGGATATTAATAATATTATTGTACCGTAATCCAGTGAGAAACACTTAATTTAAATAAATATCAGCAAAAACATAAATATATGTTTTATGAATTAAAAAAGATAATGTAATGATCTTTTTGGTGAAAATTACAAATTAATGCAATGTACAACGAGTTTTTGTCAAACATTCTCGGAATATTCACAAGTAGGCTTAACACAAAGTTTGCTGAAGTTTTGTTTTTTATGATCATAGAACTTTTGACTTTTCACTCAACACATAACACTACAACACATGTTACTGTAGTAGTTGATGACGTCAAGACTAGACTACGTTGTCAATCAACATTATGTGTAGACGTGATAGATTAACTAACTGAGTTAGCATATTACTCAAAACAACTACCAACTACAAAATGTACATCAAGTACTTGTTTTCCTTACCACTTAGAAAATAATGTTTTTAACGCTATACTCCAGGACATAAAATGCTGAGATTTTGTAGCCCAGTGGCTATGGGTAGTGTCAGTATATCTTTTTTTAATGATTCACATTTTAATTGCAGCGGAATTTAAAAAGTATTTTAGACCTAGAAAACAATTGCAAACTAAGGAAATATACGTTAAAAGATTTCCGCTTTTTTATGACAGGTAAAAATCATATTCAGTCATAATTATCATCACAGATAATTACAGATTGTTGTTGTTTCATACTTATATATAAATCTGTAATTATCTGTAACGATAATTATCGTTATGATTTTTACCTGTTTAAAAATTAAAAGTGTAAATATATATTATAGTTTTAGGTTTTACGTAGATATTTTAAACATATTTGTGCTCATAAAATATTGTGTAATGTTTGTACAATGTAGTATGTATGTTTAATATAGTACACTTTTGAAATTGAGCTATTTTTTTGGCTCAAGAGGTTGTGTAGGAAGCTTTGGAATACAGTGAGATTATCAAATAGACTATTTCAAAGAAAATATAATCGGAAAATTAATTAAAAGATACGTATAATTGTGTGATTTTCACTTTTACTTATGCAAAGATTTTCCGGGACAGACCCCCTGGACCCCCCGGTGAGTTCGGCACCACTGTCACCTAGTGGAAATACCTTAAAATATGCTCTGCATACTCTGTACTTATTACTTTTTTAAATGCCATCCTTGAAACTTATTCGCCAGACTTTACAAAAAATCTGTGTTTTTATACCTTTGATTAAACATATTCCCAAATACGTTTGCCATCCCCGTAGATTAGCTGGAGACGCTGAAGCGTTTTTAACGAATCTATCTAGCATTTGCAGAGTACTTTTGTGTACCTTACTTCTCAGTGGTCTAACTCATTTAAAAATCTATAAACCAAGATGAAAGATAAATTTGACAAACTAAAATTTTTTTCTCTGGTAGTGCCTAAAAACCCACATTGTAAAAGCTGACCACAAAACACATGCATTTGGATTCGACAATGTTTACGTAACCAGCCATGAAAAATATATGAAAACATACTATAAATAATCCAATAATGAGGAGTCTTTTTAGTGCATACAGTATCTATGGTCAATGGCCTTATTCAATGATTTAAATGTAAGTAAGTTCAAAAGCTTACCTTATTGGCAAAGTATTCAAGGACGGAGGGAAAGATGAATAGGAAGAACAATCCAGTGACAATTAGAACTGAGGAAAAAAGTATCCCACAACTTGGGGCTAAGAGGTTACGCATCTTACTGAAACATAAAACATAGCGAAATAAACATTGGGTTAGCTTAATACTGAGTAAACAAAAGTAAAAAAAATAATAACTTCTTTACTCAAATTAGGAGTTGATAATTAGCCTCTAATAACAATTTGCTACTAAAACTTCCAAACGAATTGCCGAAAAAATAAAGTAAAAGTTTTTGGCGTACTAGTACTAGATTGTCTTGGAAAAAATATTGCTAAACGCTGACTGAATTCTTTGTTAGCCAATGCGTATACTAATTTAACTCTATAAAACGTATTGCGTTTTTGACCTCAAAATTAATTTTTTAAACTATGGTTTTCATTTTTACCAATGGGTATGCTTAACCATTGTAAGTGATCTATATATAAAGCCAAAAGTACCCATGAACTTTTGAGAAAACTACAAGTCACACCCCCACAAACCATATACTTAAAATGTTCGTCATGACGAGAAACCTTGCGCAAAATTATCCATTATTTATTGCCCTATAAGGTAGTAATTGCTATCTAAAGGGAACTTTCCATTTACCTAATGTTAAAAATACCTCAGCTGTTATTATTTGTTTGTATTACCATTACTGTATTCCGTTTTGTTTATTTCATCTTAACTTAACCAATCAATAGTTTTATTAATACTAATGTACTAAAATGGGGTGGAGCCCGTGGGTAACAGATAGTTTGTGTTAAATACAAATGAACAATCTGATTACAGATTTCTTAATTTAAAAACAAATTTATGTGGTATAAAATGATATCAAAGTACTATTGTGCTTTGTCGTCGATGCATAGTCGTGAAATCAAATAAGAAACCATTTAATGATTCGGTTTTTTGGTTGAGATATGAAATTATATGAGATTCCGCATATTTTGCAAGAAAACTAGACTTTAACAATTTCTTCGCGAAACACAAATTTTGAACTGGATTCAAAGACTTGAATGGCTAGATGTATTATCTAAATTAGAGTCAGTCACGGTAAGATGTATTTTCTAAAATAATACTATTTTTTCTTTTTTTAATCGAAAAACATAGGGACAAGACTCACTGGGTGTGCTTCCCATTCCTATTCAAGTTTTGATTTTAAAAAATGTGTACTGTATTATTACCCAAAGGGCGCGTTTGTATTTGCTATATAGAGGCGTATTGATATTTTATTCATTTATAAATTTGCATGAGGGTAAAGGACCATTATGAAAAGTCATGATTTGTAATACTGTATTTGAACCTTATTGTATGGGAGAAAGATTCTTTGCTGTGACAACGATAACTTCCAAATAATTACACTGCATTAAAGTAAAAGTAAATAATACAGGGTGATTCTAAATTATTGTTACACTTTTGAAACCTAATGCTGTAAATGAAAAACTGTACAAGCTATCATTGCAGGGTGAGAATCAATTGAAAAAGTAGATTATAAAGTTTTGTTTTACACCACTTTGGTAAACATTGTTATACAATTAGCCTCTACAGACAGAATTTAGATTTAACTACGATTTTAAATTAATTACATACTTTTATTTTTCTGAATCTCAAAACTTCATACTAGATTGAACTGTCAAAAGTCTGAAGTAATAGCACTAGGGGTTAATTGATCCCTAAAGGTCAAGGTTTTAAAGTTCTTGTAGAACTAATTAGTTCTATAATTTTACCACTCAGTTATTGTTGTTCACCATTATTGTAAGCTGCAAGGAACATGACTTCAGAAGAACGATTTGAAATTGTGTAATTAACTTAAAATCTTGTTTAAAATATAAAAAAATTAAATGATAGGCCAATTTAGCAAACTATGTTTACCAAAGAGGTATCAAACAAACTCAGAATCTCCTCTTTCATTATTCTCATTCCGTGATGATAGTTTGTGTGTTTTTTCATATAGAGTTTATAAAGTGTAACAATAATTTAGAATCACTCTGTACATTGTAGCACATACCCCTGCTTAAAACTGCAAAATACTCTATAAACGTATAGTATTAACATAACTATTTCTTCGTTTGAACCACTTGTGCATTTACACCCCCAAGATAACCGTTTTAAATTGTAACTTAGTTAAGATTTAGTAGTTTACGCAACGATCACGTAAAGATAGTCTTTAAGACACGAGTATCAAATGTAAAATACGAGCCTTGTTGAGTGCAACAATCACTACTAATAACGTTATGAGAGGTTATGTTTCCGTTTATAACCTCTCATTGCCTTTGATTGTGATGCAGCGACTCATTGAACCAACCACCCACTCATTGTATAATTAATTAAATTGGCCTCAACAAGTTACAATTCGAAGCATTATATTTTACCTATTTTCTCTCAATCCTCGAACCTCATTGGTCCAAACTTGTACTGTAAAGTAACAAAACAATGCTGTTAAGTAAGTAAACAGTTCTGTTAAGTGGATCTTTTCCATTCTAAGAACTGAATTGAAAAGGCTATTTAAAAAACGGTCATAGGTAAAATAAATTAGACTAAAATTTAGGAACTCCTTCAAACTATTAAGTTGAATAGGCTACATTAGGATTACTTCAACCATAATTGAACATAGATAGATTTATCATCTTTATGGAACATCGGTGATAGATATTTTAGGGTTGCTTCTGTCCGGTTTACGTCGAGGATGTTTATCAAATGTTACTTTATTTTAGTTAGATGTAAAACAACACTAATAAACTGTGGCATGTCATATGTTGGCCTCCTACGATCACACAGCAAGGTACAACTAACAAAATACACCTAAAATGAAAGAAACACATTTAGAAGACATCAACGCACTCCAAACCTTCATTACATAAAACACTTTAAAACCTCTAGATTCCACAATATGATGTGTTTACCACTTAAAAGAAATTCTCCACTTACCCAACAAATATTTTAAAAGACACTTGTAAACAGCAGAACACAGTTCACCAAAGCTACCACAGTTTGAACTAACCGAAATCACGGACGTCGAAGATAGCTGGGTCATTGTAGAGACCTTCTGACTCAACAACCACTACAAGACTACACAACATAGCGAGAACCAACAGACAGAGTTTACTTAAGTCAAGAGTCAACAAATGACAAACAAGGAGGTATATGGAAGTAATCGAGGAAAATCTGGTAAAAACTATAAGTTTTGGAAAGATTTCGTTGATTGGGAACCGTTTATTGATTGAAAGGAATTTCATGTGTCAATATTTGAACTTTTTGTTGATAATTGGTCGTCTACTAGCTACATTATTACATGAGTTGTAGACGTATTATCAATAATAGCGTATTAATTTATAGTTACAATGTGACAAAAATGGAATAAACAAACAAAACATTTTTTGTAGGGTAGATTAGAAGGGGAAATGAGTAAGTTGACAAATCAATATTTTTGACATGTTTTTACTAGGTTTTAGTTGTTTTTCTATGTATTTTTCTATAGATAAAATATACATGTTAAATATAGCATATCTTCTCTGAGTCAACGTGATAGATGGACTAAAATAAGTCTAGTTTAAGTTATTTAAAATAAAGTATTAGTGATTAGAAACCACTTCGTGTTTATAAATGAATCTTTGAGTGAATACTTAAATTTTTGTTGAAAAAGTCGTCATTCCATTTAACCAACAAGCCATTATTAGTTACTACTGGTTTTTACAAGATCTTTTCTTAGAAAGACTATTTTGGAAAAACCGTATACGATAATGTTTGGATAGTGATAAGTGTTAATTCTAAGCGTTGCTTATTCTAGCTCGCAGTTTTCTCGAAAAAACTGTAATTCCACGTACCAATTTATAAATTCCGATGTATTTAATATATGATTTCTTCCTTAATCCATGCGTTTTTAATTCTGATAAACTGGTTGCCATGTTTGAGTAAAATACTATACTTGTGGCTTTACCCATGGATATGGATACAGAATTTAATAAACAGTACTTTTTGGTTACTGTAGAGCAAGTGGGATAGTCTCGTCAATGATTATAAAATAAATCTAGTTTCAAAGATGTGTTAACATTATAAATAATGTCATTGATCACTATTCTCTAAATAAGTGCCACTGTGTAGCAGTACGACTACTACTTTTAATCATTCACTGTCTGGGTTGTAGAAGGCTGACAAAAACTATCCAAGATGATTATTTCATCGAAAATGTGTGTGAACGTTCAACTTTAGATGTTATCCTCTTCATGAAATATGTATGCTTTCATCAAATTGTCGTGTTATCCTGGTAGCGGAAATTCTAAATTAAAATTTAGTTCAGAAAAACAAAATTCCAGATTTTTGACCATTTTCAGTACCGACCCCCTTAAGCTGATTCTTATTTTATATATTACGAATGTAGTAAAGTTTAGGAGAAAAATACGTCTAATAACAGACGAAACGTGAATTTTGAACTCTCGTTATTTAAATTACAAATCTTTTATTCCAGGTTTAATTAGAAAATATATTGTTATAACAATTCGTGTTCCCAGGATTAGAGAGCGTAAACTACCGAACTCGGACAGAAATTTCAAATGGACTCGTTTTGTTTTATAGGTAAGAATAACAAAACAACTTCATCAGTACACAATGTGCAGCAAAACTGCATTTTTATACATAAACCTATAGATAGCCTTAAAAGTTTTTATTACGTACAGTAATTTATTCAAATTACAGTAGGCCTCTAACTGTAATCAACTGTAAGAAGAATTTTTTTATCATTAAGTATTTTTATAAGAAACCCTTAAAATACAAACGCTACAAAACTATAAATTGTTAATTCGTCAATTTAGTTCACCTAAACTAATCCAAACACATGTTGAAATGCCTAAATTAAAATTAAATTCACAAAATATTTTTGTCCCTACTTACCCTTGTCTTCCTCAGGCTAGCTGTCACTGACTAACTACATCAGCCCAATCTGGCTGACCCCCTCACCCTTGCTGATAACAGTTCTCAGTTCAGCATCCAAGATAACAACACTCGTCATATCGACGGAACCGTTTACTAATTTTTTTTCCAGTTGTCAGTGCAATTAATAAATTATTCATATCAGAACGGTTGTCTTTA